AGCTGAATGTTTGGGGAATGTAGGAAGTATCGATATATTACTGTGGTATTAGCCGTTTGGCTGTAATTCGAGTTCAAAGTTTAAAAAATGCTCGAAAAAGGAGTGTTTTCAAACTAATATAACTTGTAAGTTTTAAAGTAATTAAATTTAGAATTACCGCTGTATAATCCAGTTTTAGACGATTCCGAAACGTGTTTTCTTTTAAAAGATGCAATAAAACGCGTTACAATTGAAATTATACCTGTTTTATAAGGATGATAAAACTTGAGAAAGAGTAATAAAGTTGTAATCTTGTACATGCAAATTGTAAAATTCCAAATTCATCTATTTTTTTAAATATTATTTGTTTGTTTTTCTTTTAGAATATTTTCTGCTTTGATCGAAGATATTAAGAATGAGAACGCATCAAAAGTGATTCTTCCTCCCGTCACCAGTGAGTATCCAAAACCGCAACAATTAATTATCATCAATCTCCGATAAAAGTGCAAAACCACAACAACAATAACAACAACAGACATTAAATCAATGGTTAAAATAAATAACGACAACGGGTTTGTTACGTAATCGCGCGTTCATCTCCAATCGAAGATGAAACATAACGTGTATTACGATTGAAAATAGAAGAGGAAGAAAGAAAAGAAAAGAAAAAAAACGATCGACGCAACTCGTTATGTTGTGTATTTGTGTTTATTATTTGTTCAAATATTGACAGGATGATGCGAGATCACACAATTTGCGCGTGTTTTCCCGCTGATTACACTTTTTATTATCACATTGTATTTCTCTCTCCATCTCTCTACGCACTAAGTACACTTAAATCTATGCTAATTGTTAATTACTTAAGATATTGCTTAAATTTTAAAGGATGACATCATGTTTACCATTATAGCAGCAAGGTAACAGCGGTTAATAATAATAATAATGATGATGATGAGTAGGAGATGATTCGCTCGGATTTTGATGTCGGCGCTGGAACGGATTTCACTGTTTCGCTATCGACCACAGGTTCTTTCATGCTCGTTGTCGTTGGTTTCTCTGTTGTAGTCGTTGTTGTTGTTGTTGTAGTAGTAGTTGTTGTTGTTGTAGTCGGGGTGGTGACCATTTGGAAATGGATATGGTTACCCTCTGTGCTTGTTGTTGTCGTAGTTGTAATTTCCGTAGGTGTTGGTGGTTTGGCGTGCAAATAGCTCTTCCTGCTGATGTTCGACGCGAGCAATCTAAAGTTGTTTTCGCTGAGATCCATCATATCGTAGATGAACTTGTGGAGTCTGTTGGTGAGGACGACGATTTCGTCTTCATCGTTGAAGGCGAACGCGTTGGGCCACTGAATGTACGCCAGATCTTTGGAGATGAGCTCCTGGTTGTTGATGAACGGGGTGCTCGTGTTCCATTTGGCCAAACTGCTCGAACCCAACAGACCAAAGTACAAGACACCCTGATCGTCCATGACCATGCCGTCCGTTTGCGATGTCCTCGGGCCCAAATCGACGATGTACTCGCTCGTGTTCGTCCAGCCGGGATTGCGAAGCGCTTCGGTCGATATCGAGTACAAGCGGAAGCTGGACAGAGGGTTGTAGTAGAGGAGACCCTTAGTGGGATCCAATGCGATTCCTGCCAAGTTGATGGGAGTGTCCACCTTGAAGCCGTCCACCTGGAAGTAGGTCGCATTCAGCTGGGCACGCATCGTGCTCTCGTGGCGCACCTTCCAGCTCTGGACTCGCTTCAAATCGAACACGATCAACCCCGGATCTGATCTGCTGTTGTCGCTGATGTACGCGAAATACCCGTCGACGACGATGTCGTACAGGAAAGCGTTGCTCGTCGCCACCGACTCGGGGAACGTGTAACTGAGCATGGTGCGATTCTCGGCGACGTCGTGCAGCACCAGCTTAGGTCGGCATTTTCCGCTCGGCTCTTTGGACATCGTGTTCGTGCGGCCGCCGTCGATGATCCACATCCTCCCCGACAGATCGATCTCCACGTTCTGCACGTTTTGCAGAGCGGCGCAATCGTCGAGCGAGTTCATCTTCCACGAAGGGTACGGTTGGAGTGCGGGCGCTGTGTCCGTGGCATTCTCCGCGACGATCCTCGTCAGCGTCGCCGGGACGCCCTCCTTCATCCTCGGCAGCGCCAGATAGTAGTAACCCTTGTGGTAGCTCAAACCGGCGATCGCATTGTTCTTCGGCACGTACAGACCCTTGGCGATGGCATCCTGCAGATGTTCCTCTCCGTCCCACGTGAAATTAAGATATTTCCATTCGCGAATAACGCGAAACGGTGCCTTCTGCGCCTCCACCGATGAAGACGACGACGACCAGAGGATCGTCGCTGCTAGGAGCAGGAAGGATTCGCAGCGCAACACCGTCAGCAACATTTTACTGAATCCGCCCGAAAGTCCGCTCACGCCTTATATAACTTTCGCCCGATCCGCGGCATCGCTGACTAACCGCTAATTGGGAGAACTATATAGTTTTTTTTCCTCTTCTTTTCGAAGGTGTCTTCCCTCTCTCTCTCAACATCTCTTTCGCATTCAATCCTTTACCAAACGCGCAAATCAATTGTCAAATGGTTTCTTCTTCTTTTTTTTTTCTTCTCTTTTTTTCCATGTCGCATCTATCGAGATCGCGCGATAGATTCATGCGGAGAGGTGAGGAGGAGAGGAAGGTAGCAGCAGCAGCCCCCAAGGTTAGACGTTTCCAAACGTTATGAATGCAGAAAAAGATTTCGACAGAAGGAGTAGGAAGAGACGGCGGACAAAAGAATGATGAATAAACTTGTGTAAACTTTTTTCGACTTAGTCCGTTTTCTACCTCCTCATTTCGTACGCAAACCATGTCTTTTAAAATACTCACTTCCTCATCTATTCGTTGATACGTGCTCGATCCTCTTCATCATCATTTGTCTTCTTTAACACTAATCAACACTTCTTTCTCACCTCCAAACAAACAATAAAAAACGATTCGCGTTCGGAATTTTTCAACAAATGTCAATCAACTTTTGTTTCAACTTATCGCGTCGCCATGTTACCAAAACAAAAAAAAAACAATCGATCTTCAATTGATTTGTGTCGCCTTGTTTCGATGAATCATAGAAGTATTGTTTTTTTTTTCTTTTCTTCTTCATTGATAATAATTACGTTTCTGGGGCAAACACGAATATTTTGCTCCAAACGTAACAGCAGCAAACAAGGATCCGTGCGGCGAGATGCATCGCACACTCGCCTTCTCCTAAATGTCAAATTACGCTTTTGTTTTCGTCCTTCGCCTTCTGCCTATTTAAAATTTTCGTTCGTTCTCCGTGCAAACCTTACTTTACATTTATTAACATTTCGTTAAGGTTTCTCCATTTTTTAACACACTTTTTTTTTTTGTAATTTCCATAACTCTATCAAACAACATTATTAATATTAAGATGATGACACACAAAGTGTTCTTTTCTTGTCATTCAACTTAAACGTCAATTTCTGCAATTTTTTTTGATTAAAACTCCTCCCATTATTTCTTTGTTTCGAAACAAACAACAACAACAACCATAGCAACAGAACAATTGCCAAATCGAAAGAAACAAAAGCAGCAGCCCTTTGGTTTTCGGGGCTGTCCAAAGAATACGACCAAAGTAAATCCTGCTTGTCGTAAGAGGCGACTGAAAGGATGCAAATTCTAACACGAACGCAAATCGCGTTCGCCTTTCTTTCGCCACCGAAACAATTGAGAATCCTGCAGAAAAACAAAAGCTAAACGTTATTTCCCGTGTTTATTTCCCCCTTCAAGGTGGCGTGGTCGTTGCGGTTTCGGTTTTTTTTTCGGCATTTCCTGCTGGAAAAAAACAATAATTTCCAGATCCTCACGTGAGCTAAATTATGTTTTATTCATTAATTTATCATTTTCTTACCTGCTCATTTGTTCTTCTCTATTCCGTTCGCATAAGCATCGACTAGTAATCGGTCTGTCTGTCTGTCTGTCGGTCGGTCGATCGGCCAATTAAATTTAATCGCTTCGCTTTTGCCGTGCAGAAAAACATCCATTATTTAATATTGTTATTAGCATCATCTCCGTTTCGACGTAGCCGCCTATTATTTATATTGGCCGACAATTAAGGACTAATCTTTACAGTCTGCTTATTAATCATCGCACATTCAATGATCTACTTCAATTGTTTCATTATTGTTTAAACGTTAGGATAATCTAATTTGCTTTTATTTTCTTACATAATTTCTAATATTTATGTCGCAACATGCGCTTTAACAACATACACATTTTTTTTGTGAGCATATGCAACTTTGTTTTCTCTTACGTTACGTTACGTCATTATACATTTGTTATAATGTAGGCAACTTAATAATCGCTCAATTAACAATTACAACATTCACATCGCACAACTAATACGAATTTGAATTTCGATGCTAATTTTAACTCGTTTCCAATACAACATTTCACTGTATGCAACCAATTGAACTCGCGGCGGCGCGAACAGTTTAAATTCATTAATAGCTTATCCGTAACAATAATTAATGCAATTTAACTGCAACAACAACAACAAAAATACACGATTTCTTTGTGTCGATGCGAATCGCGAGTTTTCCTTTTTTTTTTCCGATCGTCTTTTTTCTCTTTCTTTTTTTTGCTTCTCTTCTCTTTCCGTCCTTTACGCAAGTCTCCGCCGCTTCACCGTGTACTTTTATTATTTCGCCGGTCGCGTCGCAATCGGCCGCACGCAGAAGCGATCCCTTCGCCAGAAACAAAAATAATCTTGTTAGCAATTTTTTGTTCGTTTCTGTGATTTGTTGAAATTGTGTTGTTTTGTTTTGTGTTTTGTTTTTTTGTGAAGATGGTCGAGGATGCGGCTTGTTTGGAGGAAGGAAAGGGCCACGGGGACGGCGACGTCCCGGCGGCGGCTGCGGCGGACAGTCAATGGGAGAAGTTGCTAGGCAACGGACGCGTTCCTGTTCCGCTTCCGGCGTCGGCGACAATTCCGGTTCCGGTTCAGCCGGAAAGGCGAAGGTCGTCGGTCGGAAGTCTTTTCAGCAGTTTCCGGAGGAGCTTCAGATTCACAACGGGTGGCGCTAAGGGTGCAGGAGGAGGCGCCTCCACAGGACACGTCTTCAGCAGGTACCTGTAGAGTATCAAATCTATACATTTCTACCCAGTAATAGGGAAACACTCTATCTTCGATTTGTACAGAGTGAATCATCTATCGTTTATGCATGTGCATTCGATAATAGCGTTTCGCGTTTCCGTATATTTAATTTTTTTCGCTTTCAACACTAAAGTCCATCGGTATCGCTCGCTCGCTCGCTCGCTCATTAAACAAATGCTAAAACAGTATCGCGACTATTGTTTGTTTTCTTCATTCAAATGTTTTCCTTTTGTTTCCACGGACTCGAATGTAAATTGCAAAGCAGCAGTAGCGATAGCAACCGTTAATGATCAATTAATAACTTTTATTTATACGCTTCATTTGTTATTTACCATAGCGACTTATCCTAACTGCTTACAAACATTGTTGATTGTTGCCTAGGTGATTTATTTCTGATTGCAATTACTCAAAGTTCACTATTTAGAAATAGTAAGACTTTACAAATCAAAATTTTTCCCGTTCAGTTACGATGAATCATCGAATTTCCTTCAATGCGAGGGTGACAGGGATGGGGTTGTCGAGTCGAGACGAGACGAGACTTCTCATTTCCTCATTTCTCTCTCTCTCTCTCTATTTACTCTGGCGATCGTCCGGTGCGAAAAATTCGCTCATTTATTTTTCCTTCGGGCCAACGAAAATATTTGATCAATCGAACTTTTGCAGCCGCTTCATCCTTTTCTCATCTCATCTCATCTCGATTTTATAGAAATAAGAATTGATAGATTGATAAAATGCTTGATAATTACGTGAAAATAACCAGACGAAATTAAATCTCCTTCACGCACGTATAGTTTACACGCGAAACGCCAATCAACGCCCGATTTATTATGATTTGCGATGAAAACACGTCGATGGACGGAGAGGTGCTTCCTTCGCTCGCATCAAAATCCATCCTTCCTTTTCATTATTATCTTTTCGTCGTTCATTTATTTAAATAATATATTCAATTCGGTCGAGCGAACGCGTCGAGTTTATTTCTGTTGCCATGGACGACGCCAAATGTCTTTTTCCAAATGAGTAATTTTTAAGTGGGACAACATCCTTTTTTCACGTCGTCGCTTAAAACTGCACGCGAAGGACTTTTCCGCGCAAAAGTTTAACGCAATTGAAAAAAACGAATATGAAGAAAATCGTCATGAACGACTGGGGATTATGTTTTTTGTACGTGTTGAGAGTTGTTGGCACAGCTGTTGTGACACCTGCCTCCTGCGAAATAATAATGGACGACAGAACCGTGACATATCTCTGACATATACACACGACGACGACGTACTTATTTCATTGCAAAAATGGGTCAATGACTTTGTCATATATATTATGACTATTTATTTCGTCTCAAAGATATTTACGTTTTCTTAAGTGCAAAATGTTTAGTTTAATTCAACCGTTTCAATTCAGCTCAAACATTGTGACAATTTTCTTTGACGTTTCAATGTCAACGTCAATTCAATTGTCATATGACACCGAAAATATTAGTTTTCCATTTCGTTTTATTTACTAATCAAAATTACTCATTATCATCGGCGATTGATTGCATTGACATTATCTTTAGTCAATATTTCCTTGCACTGCAATTATCTACAGTTCAAGCCCAAATATTTGATGTTTCTATTGACAATTCATTCCAGTTTTCAAACAAAATTAATACAATCTTTTTTTGAATTATCTTAACAATTACAGTCGCTTCACAATTATTGACAATATTGAAATTATGACGTTGCTATCAAATAGAAAAAAATAGGTTATTTCATTGACAATTTTGATTGTCATCTGTCAAAATTTTAACTATTAAAACTATTGTTTTGTTTTAATTGACATTGACGTAATCGCATCTCTGTGAATTTTATTAGCTACTTAAATGATTAAAATTTATTAGTTTTTCAATACGTTGCGAGTATCGTAACGATTTGGGTGTTGGGTTTAAATTTAATCGTCTGTTAAAAATATCATAGGATGGACAGCTGCCGAAATTGACGTTCCAACTGGTGTGTGTGCGTGTGTGTGTAAGACGAGTGCCTTCCACAAACGTAAATAAACGTGATCCGAGAAGTAAGAAGGAAAAGAGTGTATTCAATTCAATTCATCTCGCATTTTCATTCTTTCGTGTTCGTTTCGACTCTTTCATCTTTTCATCGGACGCGCTTCTATTTCCGTTCTCGATTAAAATATATATATCGCATCGTGTTCTCATTGCCGCCCTCCCGTCGCGTTCACAACCATTACTTACAATAAAACAATAATATTTGTGGAATATTGACAATTAACTTTAACTTTTTGTTCAATGATCATCGATATTTTTGCTCGCCGCAACGTCAAGTTCTGATTATTTTGACAAGTGTCGCGTTGTTATTTCACAAACGTCAAAAAGTGACATTTGAAATGTTTTTCTATTCACTTTTTTTTTGACAAGTGTCAAATTGCGTTTGCTTTGGAAACGTCAAAAAGTGAGATTTTAAAGGAAGGAATGGGATTTGCCGATATAAAATATAACTCTCGAATTTTGTACTATATGTAAACAAGTACTACACGCTCTCGCCACTTTATTTCTGGATCGTAAATTGGACACGTAAAGAATTGGCACCGGGGAATTAGTTTTTATCCGCTCTTAATTTACATCTTTTTATTTTGTTTTATCTTATTTTTATTTCTCTCTCTCTCACTCTCACTCACTTAATCACTGTATATTCATCTTTTTCTGGTCCAAGAGTATCGTCAGATTGTGCAACGGAAGCTGTGGAGGACAGAAACGTTGTCGTAGCAAGACGAAAGGCGAGACGAATTTAATTAAATTTAGCACGACTCTATAATTAATTTGTGACTTGTTATAGTACGCGTATAAATAATTATGTTCGTTCGAATCTCTCTCTTTCTCTCTCTCACACACTTGCTCTTAATCATTTGTTCATTTAAGTTTTTCAGTGGCGTCTCACGCGCGTCACGAAAATGTGAAGCTTCGATTGTTTCATCTTCGCGATAGTTCTTTTGTTTCCGCACACTAAAATCGCGTCACCATCGCCATCATCATCTTTGTCAGAATATAATAAGAGTGATGCTGAAGAAATGCCTTTCGCAAGTTTCGATGCTGGTCGTCAGAGTGTCCATGTCCACGGAGCAGGCCTGGCTCGACGAATGGCACAGGTTACATACAACTTCAATTTGACTTTCAATTTGACTTTGACATTCTCAAACGTCAAATTTTGACAGATTACGAAAATTGATTGATTTGACAGGAGATTAAATGACAATTGTAATTTGACACATTGTAATTTTCGCAGAAGGCTGTAATGAAGAAATGTCAGATGGATGTTTGATTATATGTTGGATTCTTGGTGTGTGTGGGTGGGTGGATGTATGAGAAGAAAATAAACGGATTTTGAACTTGGGAGACGAGACGTGTGTGCGTGTGTGTGTACGCGCGCGCGTTGATTTACGGGCGTTCGGGATCATTTATTTAGTAAAGTTATTCGCACAAACATATTCGTACTCGTAATAATAATAAATTAAAAAAATATGAATATGCGGCATAAGTTGCATAAATATTTACATTTTGAGCTTCGTCGCAAAACCGAAAAGAACGAAAGGGGTCACAAGGAAAGAAAGAAACAGCGAAAAGGAGAAGTAGAAGCGAGATAAAGTTGCATGAATTGTGTTCTTCTTTGTAAAGAGGAGATATTTGGAACTCGTTTTTCGGTTGGGGAAGTTGTCAAATAAAGAAAAAGAATTTGCATACCGGTTGCAGAAAGAAGAAGTTCGTTAACCTTTTAAGAGATCGCGCGATTATTTTAATTTCATAATTGTAATGTTGTTGTTGTTGAATTTGCAGATATCGACAGTCGAGGTTCAATGCGCGTCGCATAAGGAAGAGGGTCGTGTTCAAGCACGGCGACTGCAACGTGGTGCAAGGAAACGTGGCGAAGCGGAGCACCAGATACCTGCAGGACATCTTCACGACTTTGGTGGACGCGCAATGGCGCTGGACCCTCTTCGTCTTCTCGATGAACTTCCTGCTGTCGTGGTTGGCTTTCGCCGTCGTCTGGTGGTTCATCAGCTTCACGCACGGCGATCTCGTCCCGCAGAATTTCGTAAGTTTAAAAATAACTAAATTGATGATAATGATACTAATTATTCTTTGATGGTGGTGATGGGTTCAGAGCAATTCCAGCTGGACGCCGTGCGTGACGAACATAAGGGATTTCACGTCGTGCTTCCTGTTCAGCGTCGAGACGCAGCACACGATCGGATACGGAAATCGAACGCCGACGGAGGCCTGCCCCGAAGCCATCTTCTTCCTCTGCCTTCAATCGATCACCGGCGTCATGATACAAGCCTTCATGGTGGGCATCGTCTTCGCGAAACTGTCGCGTCCCAAGAAACGCACGCAGACGTTGCTCTTCTCCAGGCACGCGGTCATTTGCCAAAGGGACGGCACGTTGTGTCTGATGTTCAGGGTCGGCGATATGAGGAAATCGCACATCATCGAAGCACACGTCCGGGCGCAACTGATCAGGCACAAGGTGACCAAGGAGGGCGAAAGTCTGCCGTTCTATCAGACGGAACTGAAGGTAATAATAACGATGATGATGATGATAGCGTTTTGATAATTTCAATTAATTTGTGATTCGTTTCGATCAGGTCGGAGGTGACGGGGAGGAGGACAAGATCTTCTTCATATGGCCGACGACTATAGTGCACAAGATCGATAAGACATCGCCGCTCTATCAATTGTCGGCGACGGATCTTTTGCGCGAACGCTTCGAAATCGTCGTCATATTAGGTAATAATTGTTTTGCACTATAATATGATATACTTATCATCCGAATTGTTTCGTAGAGGGCGTGATCGAGTCGACGGGGATGACGACGCAAGCCAGATCCAGTTACCTCCCTTCGGAGATCCTCTGGGGTCACCGCTTCCAGACGCTCGTCTCCTTCAAATCGCTGAACGGCGAATACGAAGTGGATTACGCCCTCTTCAACAACACCGTCGAAGTCGACACCCCACTGTCCAGTGCCAAGCAGCTCGACGAATTCGGCATCGTCGGTAAGTGCGCTTCCAACTTCACGTTTCGCCAACAAAAAATCAAATCGCCTGATCCTCGTGCGATTCGCTGGAACAAACAGACAAAGGGCGTGGTCCACTTCAATTTTGATTGGTTCGCATTTCGCGACGTTCTCTCATTTGCAGATTTCAGACAACAGCACGATCCGTCGCCGCCCCCACCCTCCAACGTGCAGATAAATCTGGAAGTTTAAAGCGAACGGAAAAGATCACTTACTCTTTTTTTGTTCTCCAATTTAAATTTCCAACAAACCACAAACCCCCCTCATCAGGAGAAGTACTTACAGTTCTTTTTTTTATGCGCTCTTTCTATACAGACAATTTCTTTGTCTCTTGTCTTAACAATTTTCTTGGCAGTGGCTTCTACTAAAATCTTACTAAAACCGATTCATTCATCTTCGGGATCTTCACCAGGCGGCTCTACTAAATCACGAATTTCGCTTACTTCCTCCCCATCATCATCATCATCGTCATTCTCTCACAAAGTGTGCTTATATAACTTTCGAATGTGTTTCTCTCGCAGAGCAACAGATGTCGTACGACTTTTCGAACAGGTCGCCGTCGAGCAACACCCTGTGCAGCATGGACTCGATGTCGATTGACCTGAGCCTCGCCGACGGCGGCCTCCACCTGCACCAGCACCACAACCATCTACATCACGAGAACCACTTTCAAATAGGCGGCGGCAATCTGCATTGCTCCTCCTCGTCGCCCAACACCGATTCAACGGCCATCCTTTTGAGTCGCAACAGTGGCACCTCTTCCTTCGGTCGTCGCATGTCCGCTCCGCACAACCACACCACCGTGGCTGTCTGAAAACAAACAAACAAACAAACATAATCAAACAATCATCAATCAATTTCAGATTGAATTGTTCGACGAATCAAAGGTAATTTGATTCCGATTCCCGCCTTTTTATATATATATATATATACATACATATTAATGCAAGATGAGTTGCATAAATCGCATCGTTATTTTTTTATATTTATTTTTTTTTTAATATACATATATATTTCCGCGTGCGTTTGTCTATATTATACGAAACACTCTTCCTACCATCATCATCATCCCATTTATAGCGGATGCGCCTGGTACTATCCTTTCAAAAATTATATGCAACCGAAATTACATGAATTTATCAATATATCTCTACTATACTTAAATAAACAATTATCAGTTGATTTAATAATTAATGAAATAATTGATATATTTTTTTGATAACAGTTTTTATTGCGGATGCGCCAGGTAGCTTACGTTACGTTTGCGTCGTTTTGTAAAAAAAAAATCAATATTTAACGTTATGCAACCGAAGATGTACCAATTGCGTAATAATTCGTTTGTAACTATATGCAACTCAAATTGCTTGAACGCTAATATTTAATCACTAATTGCATTTGAATTTGTAACGTAACAAAGTAAAATCAATTGAAATTTCAGTTCAAATACGGTTAATGAACGGAATGAAAAAAGTAAGATTGAAATCTGCGTGATAAATTGATTGAAATTTATGCTCAGTTTATGCAGATGGCAATTGTCCTTCGACGCTTTTTCCCCGGCGTTTCCGGTTCAAATGGCCGGAAGCGACGACCCACGCTGTCCGTCCGTCCGTCGGTTCACACTCAATTGAAACAAAACAAAAAAAAAGTCCCCACCGCCGTTCGCACACTCGCCGCTCGCTACGATCATTTACCACTTGCTCCGTCTCTCATCCAAAGAATAAAACAATAATGATGAAATAATACCGCTTCGTGCAATACGTGTGTGTCTGTGTGTGTGTCTATATATATATGTAGTTATAATGCCGTAACAATTTCGAAACGCGTCCATCGTCGTGCATAACAATGATACACGCGTCGTCGTCGAGCGAAGATCGCGGTGCGCTGCTGCTGCTACCACTCACAGTTGTCGTCGTTGTTGCTTTGTTTCACTTTGGAAACCAAACAACGAATAAACAAAACACCATCAAATAAGGGTAAGATATAGAGATGAAGAGATACAATAAATTAACAACACGAGAGAGAGAAAGGTAAAAAGATATTTGATCGTGTCGTTGTTGTTGTTGTTGTTGTAGAAGAGTGAGAGATCGAATGGTCGAGGTGAAACTCTCACGGTCATCACCGTATTGTATTTCGTTTTGAACTACTCTATTTCTTTTGAAATGTACACTCTCGTGTTTCTTTGTTTGCACAAATCGTTTCGGTCAATTAAACAGGAGCAACAGGTGTCTCTTTGCAGTCACATCTCCTCCTCCTTCTCCTCTTATCATTAAGTTACGTAATCGCGCGCTCTCAGAATTATATAATTACGCACGGTGAAGTAGGTGAGAGAACTGCGAACTGTACATGTTGGAAGGGGAAATTCCGTGCAATTGTTTTTTAGCATTCCTCGATTAAAACAAAAATAAGTCATGGCAACGTGTATCGTAATAACCATGGTTACCAGTATTAATATGATGTCACGTTTTCCAGGTGCCGAGGATGATGCTGTGACCGGATGGCGTCGTCGTCACAGTTCTTCGTCGGAGGCGCTGGAAATCCGATGGACCCGGAGGACCTCTCCGACGTCGGCGTCGCGATCGAAGAGGGCGCAAGCGTCGATTCGCCGCTCATCCTGCAACCGTCGATCTCGCTTCCCGCGATCGTCGCCTCGACGCCGAATCTGAACCGCGTCGCGACGGCCACCAGCTCGCTCACCCACTTCAAAGATTCCAGGTGAGACATTCCCTTCCATTCATAATCAATTAATTCCTTCCTTCATTCTTAATCCAATTGAAGCACTTAAAGTTTGATTACACTTGCAGACTTCAACTTAAATCCCACTGATTAAGTAAGATTACTGCTCTTGATGGTGGAAATACTTAAGTCTAAATATCGGTTGCTTCTCCCCCACACTAA